TTCTCATCACCATCTCACCATCTCTTATCTCCCCCCACAACAGTTCTCAGCGTGCGGTATATTCAACATCAGCAGGGGAGCATTCAGAGGCCTAGAGAACACTTTAGTCAACCTCAACCTGCAGGACAACAGGCTGGCGACCGTCCCTACAGCAGCTCTCGCCAGACTCACCAGACTCAAGCTCCTCGATCTGTCAGGCAACCAGATCACCTCTGTTCCTGACGAGGCATTTGACGGCCTTACACTCTCCACGCTTAAGGTAATGTTGTACTGTGTGTTTGATGGTGTTTGTGTGTGTTTGTGTGTGTTTGATGGTGTTTGTGTGTTTGTATAGGTATATGTGTTTGTGTCTATGTCTGACTATACGTTATAGGCAATTATGTTTTTTCTGTGTTTGTTTCTGTCTATCTGTCTACTTAATCTGTTTATTTGTGTATGTTTATCTCTGTGTCTGTCTATGTTTCTGTTAGTGTAATTCTGTCTATCTGTCTGTCTGTGTGTTTATAAAATCCATTTCTCAATATTTCTGTCAGTGTGTCTGTCTTAAACCCCCTCCACCCTCTGTCTCTCTACAGCTGGCGGACAACGAACTGTCTCTGTCAGATCGCTCCTTCGCCGGGTTGGAGAGCAGCCTGAAGAACTTAAACCTGAAGGGCACCAGCCTCCGGTCGGTGCCTCCCGCCCTCAGGAACCTCCCCGTACTTGCTTTCCTCGATATTGCTCAGAACCAAATACGGAGCCTGGAGAGAGGTAAGTGTCGTGTGTGTGTGTGTGTGTGTGTGTGTGTGTGTGTGTGTGTGTGTAAATAACAATCATAATAATACTCATAATAATAATAAACGGTTTATTAATAGAGTTGCAGTCGGTGGCTGAAAATATACAGACTTACATTTGATTTAGACAATATGTGTTGAATACATTTACAGGGCTGTACAGTACATAAATCAGGAGTTGTTTATTATTTTAACAATAGATGGGAAGGTGCTTTTCTTATATCTATCGGTGCGGGCTCTTATGGGCTGAATGTTGTTATAGTGGCGGACTGCGTGAGGTGGTTGGGGGGCTGACGGTGGCAGGAGGTGGCGATGACGAGGGTGGTGCATTAGTTGGCTGCCAAACCTTTCCAGTGCTTGGTGGTGGAAGTCACTGAGGGATGTCATTTCCAGGGTGGAGAGAGCGTTGATGTAGCCGGAGTATTCTGCGCCGAGCATGATTCTGCAGGCCCTTTTCTGTGTGTGTGTGTGTGATATACCTTCCTCGTCACCTATATCACTCTCTAAAAGGCACAAATAACACCCATATCACGATTAACAATAACAACACCTCCGCCATTTCACACTCTGACGATTAAAGAAAACGTGAATCATATCCATCATAGAAAACGTGACCTGAATCCCTTCGTCATCCAATGTTCTCATCTCTTAATATCTCAGATTAGCCACCATCTCTCTCCACCCTCTATAACTCAAGCCTAGAGGTATAACTGGTACTCATGGAGGCATAAAATGACTCATGAATCAAATAACTCACTGAAGCGTTGAGCACTATACTGTTAGGATATGAACAATAAGGGGTGACTCTCACATTCCACGTCTCGGAAGATTGGGTCTTTGAGAGGAACAGTTTTCTCTTCATTTCACTAGACATTATTCTACCTAAGATTCACTCATGTCACAGCATTAAGATGAAGCAATGAGAGCGGATTTAATATTTGTCTGTTTAGGTTAGGTTAGGTTTAGGAAGTTACCACCAATTTAACATTATCCCATCCTATTACAAGAGTTAACACCAATAATCCTAACATCCTTCTCTCCTTCATCCACACAGGCGCCCTTAGGAACCTTCACTCCCTGACGGCGCTGAATATCGAGAGGAACCTTCTTCAGGCCCTGGAGGTGGAGGACTTCATTGGCATCAACGACACCCTCAGTTCTCTCTCCATGCTTAACAACCTCATCACTGACTTCCCTAGAGACGCCCTTAACACCCTGGAGGAGCTGAGGGTGAGTACTACTGACAGTGTGCTAGGAGGGGTAGTGGTGGGAGTAGGGGGAGTGGTTAGTGGTAGGAGGAGGGTGGTTGGTGGTAGTGGTGGTAGGAGGGATAGTGATTAATAATAACGGTAGCGGAAGAAATGGTTGTTATTATTGTTGGTGATGGTGGTGATGATAGTGTTGGAGAAAGAAGAACGTACCAGACAAGAGATACTCCACCACATTCACCAACACTACATTCACCAACACCACATTCACCAACACTCCTACGTCACATAACCCAGCTGTAAACAAACCAAACACCACTATAAACAAATATGTAATATACCTTCCTATTGTGGTATGAGAAAGACTGTATACATAAGACTGTTAACTGGATCCATAGCTCCTGTTAACAGTGAGCGGGTGTTCAAAGTGTTACTCCTGGTATTAAGTGTCAAGAACCTCCCTGTTCATATTTGTTCACCTGCCACACGAGGAATGAATCACCCATCACATTGAACCAAAAGGCGGAAGTGATTGATCGAACGGACGGACGGACGGACGGACGGACGGACGGACGGAAAGACCTCTCACGTTAATTACCAAACACTCACCTGGTGGGAAGGGGGAGGGGGATGAGAAGAGGGAGGTTGGGGGGGGGGGAGAACACCTGGAGGCAATTTGGTAAAAACCTACGTGTATGCGGGTGTGGCGTGCTATGATTGGTCGTTGGTATTTATTTACGATGTCAGCTATCTATCCAGTTTAGGTTAGGTTAGGTTAGGAAGGTCTAATTCTCTACATCAGGAGGGAGAAAGAGTTGAAGGAAACGGACCAATCAGCGAACGTCATGCCCGCATATGTGTGGTTTCTGCCAAAGAACTTCCGGGAGGAGGCTGGGAGGAGAGTGTGGGATGTTCTCACCCGTAACGAGTCTAACTTCTGCAGGTAGGTGGTGGGAAGGTCGCTCTTGTTGACGTGAGGGAGGAGGTGGAGGAGGAGGATGAGAAGAGTGAGGAGGAGAAGAAGAGGAGGAGAAGAAGAGGAGGAGGAGGAGGAGGAGAAGAAGAGGAGGCGGAGGAGGAGAAAAAATGAGAGGGGGAAGAAGAGAAGGAAACAACATAATAAAGATGGCGTTTAGGAGGGTGTAAAGGAATGGACGAGTTGACGGTCGGAATTTGTTCGTAAGATGGCAGGTCAATGGGTGAAGAAAACGTTTAAATTCACTATGGTAATGATATTGTTAAATAAATTCGGCCAAAAAATGTAAAAAAAATAAGGCTTAAACTGGCTAGAAAGTCACGTGCCTGCGAAAAGCTCTGTGATTGGTTGTGACGTCACATGCTGGCTGCCAAAATGGTGAAAAAAACCGATAACTCCAACATGGAAGTTTTCATCACTGTTCTCTATTTCATGTCTGGAAATGTAAGTTTTCGTCACTGATGTCTGTATTTAATGATGTGGAAGGACTAGGGACGGCCATGGCCAAGGGATGATCAGATGACAGATGTTATTTAACGTGCTTCACAACTGGATGGCGGAGTTCTTGATAATACTCTACAATCACAAACACATCTACTTTTGGTCAATTTCTTTCATCTGCCTTGATGAACCCTGGAAGTACAGTAGTTGTCCAACCTTATCGGCTGATCGGCTCTGTAAATAAATATTATTAGATAATTAATTGCGATTTACTGTGCAACATACTAATGCTTTTTTTAATATATAAATATTACTAAGCACATTAACTAATTCAATGGATATTAGCTGCCCGTTCTACAAATTTCATAGTATAAACATTACAAACAATATTGGTATTATTTTGGTTTTGGTCATGTGGGGAACCTTAAGAATCTAACTATGAGATTAAGTACTTCAAACAACTTTCGATCGCATAAGAAAATACAGATCATAGGTTAGGTTAGGTTAGGTTAGGTTAGGTTAGGTTATGATGAGTTATAAGGTTAGCTTAATATACATTAGTAAGGGGGGGGTAGTAACTCAAAACTAGTGATTTCCGATAAAATTGAAGGTTTAAATCGTTCATAACACATCGCAAACCACCAGGAAGAAAACGAAACATCAGAACAAGAACATAGTCTGCGTGTGTAAGTACAGGGATGACCCAAACTTATAATATACCCAATATAACCTGTCTCGAACCTAAACATCCAAATACTTATGGTAGTTAAAGTAAAATTTTACCCATTAATTAATATAAATGATGATATATCCCAGTGGTTCATTAGTGAATCATCAAAACAATAACAGCACTATGTTGTAATGTTTACCTAACACCAGGCATTCTCAAAACAAAGTCCAGACAATGTTATTACTTCTAAAGTGACTCGTATCTCCATCTAGTACTGATATACTCTGTAATTGCACTGAAAAAATGAAAAACTCTACCGTCCATAAGCTGCTCTTCGTGGCACATTTCTTCACATACGAAATGTCCATGATTCAGACCATAAGAACACCCTTAAAACTTATATGAACGTGGCATTTGGAGTCTGAGGAGGCCATCCTTTGTACGACCTCCAACTGCAGCGGTGAGTTTGTTGGAGAACGTCGTCTTCGGGGAAACTGGTGACGTGCGGCCCTGTTTCTAGACATAAACTTATCTCGACTATTATAGCAGGACTTTAAACACATTATATATACCGAATCACTCGACGAACGTGACAGAGTGTATTTATTGTGTTTACTCAGAACCGACAACTCCTCCATTGAATACAGTATGTGTGTGTGTATAATTTTTGGTGTATGGATAGTGTATGTGCTTGTGTGTGTATATTTGTGGTTATTTTATGTATGTATGAATGTGAGTGTGTCAGTCCTGTGGTGTAGCCATGTGTACCTCAGTAATAGTCATCGCAGTATACCGCTATACTCTCTGGGTCACCTTCCCTCATCTGCAAGTCAAACGGATGTGAGATGTCACTAAATTCACGAACCATCTTATTCAAGCAGTGTATAACATTAACATCACTACGGAAGGGCAGCAACGATTCGTACCCTCGTGCAATACTGTGGAATGGTTTTGTCCTATTTAAAGCGGCATAACTCATGAACATAATACCATGGTAAGCACAAGTATTATATCCTGGTGACTGGTTAATCCCATACACCACACTCAGTTGTTGTCGGCTGACGCTATACTTATTAAGATAGTCGACGAACATAGGACTGACAACATTGGTCTAGGAGTCATAGTAAACATAGCCTCCGTCATCAGCCCGATATACTGATACCAAATGATACATAGTCTTTCTAGGTAGCATTAAGAACATAGCCTACCCGGGAGGCAGTGGTGGGAGGGAGAGCAAATTTCGTCTTCCTTCAACTAGGCGACTTTTCACCATTCCCAAGGGCTTCTTTACCCTGTGCAGCCCTTTAAAAATCTCCTACAAATCGTCCACAGTTATGGTACGATTAGTTGCCATTATTTCTGGTGTTTCAGTTTTGCTCGACTAAAGGAACAGGTTTATAGGTTTTATGGTGAGGGAAAATATAATAATAGGTTATGTCTAGATGTATGATGTGTTATTGAACGGTTTATAGTGACGTAGTGTAGTGTAGTGTTGGCGTAGTGTAGTGATGGTGTGGTGTAGTGATTGTGTAGTGTAGTGTTGCTGTAGTGTAGTGTTGATGTAGTGTAGTGTTGCTGTAGTGTAGTGATGGTGTTGTGTAGTGTTTATGTAGTGTAGTGTTGTGTATTGTAGTGATGATGTAGTGTAGTGATGGTATGGTGTAGTGTTGGTGTAGTGTAGTGTTGTGTAGTGTAGTGTTGGCGTAGGGTAGTGATGGTGTGGTGTAGTGATTGTGTAGTGTAGTGTTGCTGTAGTGTAGTGTTGATTAGTGATGTGTGTGTAGTGTTGATGTGTAGTGTTGTGTAGTGTAGTATGATGTGTAGTGATGGTGTTGTGTAGTGTCGTGTTGATGCAGTGTAGTTGCGGTGTTGTGTAGTGTTGATGTAGTGTAGTGTTGCTGTAGTGTAGTTATGGTGTTGTGTAATGTTGATGTAGTGTAATGTCGTGTTGATGTAGCGTAGTTATGGTGTTGTGTAGTGTTGATGTAGTGTAGTGTTGCTGTAGTGTAGTTATGGTGTTGTGTAGTGTTGATGTAGTGTAGTGTTGCTGTAGTGTAGTGATGGTGTTGTGTAGTGTTGATGTAGTGTAGTATTGCTGTAGTGTAGTTATGGTGTTGTGTAGTGTTGATGTAGTGTAGTGTTGATGTTGTGTAGTGTTGCTGTAGTGTAGTGTTGATGTTGTGTAGTGTTGATGTAGTTTAGTGTTGATGTAGTGTAGTGTTGCTGTAGTGTAGTGATGGTGTTGTGTAGTGTTGATATATTTAGTGTTGGTGTAGTGTAGTGTAGTGTTGATGTGCTACACTACACTAAATCAACACTACACATACAATCACTACAACATAAAAAATATACATCATCACTACACTCACCACATCATCTTCACTACACACACACACCATAACAACACAATAAGCCAAAACCTTTTATTGCATTTTAACTTCACTATGAAAAAAAATCGTCTCCATGGTCATATTTCTTACGTCATTATCACACACACACACACACACACACACACACACACACACACACACACACACACACACACACACACACACACACACACTAATATGCCAGAGAGTTAAGTAAATAAATTTCTCTTTACAACACATACAGTGAAACCTCCATATAACGGACAACTCTCCCCATAATAATCCGTTAATTAGAGGGTTTCACATCAAACGGACCTTCAATGTAACGGACTTTCCTCGCCATAGTTCACTAAATGGAGTTTCATATCTAACGAACCCTCGATATAACGGATTTCTACCCCGCTAATTTTTTTCTCCTCTTCCTCTTCCCTTCATCATCTTCATTCCCTCCTCCTCCTCGACTTTACTTTTCCCTTTTCTCTCTCCTCCTCTCCTCCCCCGTCCTCTTGTCCCTCCTCCTTGCCTAGCCTCCTCCCTCCTGATGACCCGCCCCAGGTCAGGTCGCC